TAAATACATCAACTGCCTTTCATTTTTTATTTTTTTCATCTTATGATGTTGGGAATTAACAAACAAACTTGTTTGGTTAAACCTTGAAAACATAGTATGAGTTGTGAATGGTCCTCGGTTATTACAACATAAATTTTATTTACTCATTCACCAATTACCTTCTGAAGGGTTTATTAAAGTCTGTCCAGTTGTTCATATTTTGCTAACAGACATGCTTGACTCCAACAATTCATGTTGACATGTTAAGCAAACATCATGCAAAATGACCAGCATTTATATAATAACTCTTGAGCTACATATACACTCATTAGATTTAGGCACATTATCTGTAAAATTGAGATAATTATAGACTTCTTGTGTTTTTTTCAAGTTTAGTTAGTCAAGGTGTAAATAGATATTTTGCTAACAGACAAAGCCATATCAAATAGGGAATGGCAAAATTTTAAAYAGACTCCTAGCAATATGTCACCACTCCAAATGTGTGTTGTTGACAAGTCTCAGCTGCTACTAGTACATTTTCATCCAATRATTTTCTTAAAAAGCATCCAGTTGTTTTAACGAGATATTGTGAAAACATCACTGAAGGTTAATAAAATGTAAACATCTCTGTTTATTCTGATTGAGCGCTTGAACAAATMTGTCCTATGAAATAACCTCTGTCTTATTTCCAATAATAAATTTCTAACAACTCAATGTCTTTGTCACTGGACTGTATAAATCAAACTAAGCCTTGTTTGCATGTGTCAGATGAAAACAGACAGAACTAATTTGCTGAGCCATGATGGAAGTCAACCAGAAGATCAGAGGCAAAGATATGGAGGAGGAAAAGCTAACGGCTGTAATCAATGCAATAAAGAGAAGCTGGCAGGATTAGAAATTACATTTTTAGGTCTCTGTTCAGTGTTTGCWGTCCTTATAATGCCTGGAACATAAGCTTTATAAGTTAGTTCAATGCAGTTTATTGTAAAACTAAACATATATTAAGTATTTTTTTCCCTTTCATTTTATTTTATTTTTAAATTTAAAAGTTACACTCACCACCCAAAATAGCGTTGTGTGAGCCAGGGAATGATACTGCTCAATGGTAGAGAGAACACTGAGGATGAGACACGCCAGAACCATTAGAAACCTGGAGAGATTAAAGCAGAACATGCCGTGGTTAGAAATGTTTATAGAACTTTTATTTTTTTAAAATGTTAATAGATTTTTATGTCAGATCATTTGCATGTTTATCTAATAAAAAAACAGAGTTCCTCCATCTTTTTTTTTAGATATTTGAAATCTATAAAGGCAATTTATCATGCTTGTTCAAATTTTTTGCCTTTTCATAATTTACTAAAAGTACAAAACTTAACTGAACTTCGGTAAAATATTTGCTTAAATCTGAGGAAGCACTATAGGACTGTGATTTAATGTGTAGGGGTCACCTCGAGTGAAATTATCAAGGAAACTGTCTTGGACTCGCAGTCCTCTGATGGGCCTTTTAAGGGACAAAACTCTGTCCCACTTAGAACTGAATCTAGGCCACCTCAGGTCACCTTAACTTTTCAGAGAGACATTATCTTCCTTCTAAATCAGATAATAAACAGAATAGTCTTCGTCTTTTTTAATTTATTGTTCTCTTAACTGAAAATATTACGCATTTTGATAATCAGAGAATGTTTAGC